AAAGGTGCTAGGAATAAACTTTTTTTTTTTCATCTATCTATCTATCTATCTGTTTGTCTATCTATCTATCTGTCTATTTAATCTACATATCTACCTATTTATCTATCTGTCTATCTATCTATCTTTCTATCTGTCTATCTATCTATTTATCTATCTATCTATCTATCTATCTATCTATCTATCTATCTATCTATCTATCTATCTATCTATCTATCTATCTATCTATCTATCTATCTATCTATCTATCTATCTATCTATCTATCTATCTATCTATCTATCTATCTTATTTATCTATCTATCTGCTATCTATCTATCTATCTATCTATCTATCTATCTATCTATCTATCTATCTGTATTTATCTATCTAATCTATATCTATCTATCTATCTATCTATCTATCTATCTAGGTCTATCTATCTATCTATCTATCTATCTATCTATCTATCTGTTTATCTATCTATCTATCTATCTATATATTTATCTATATATTTACCTAATTATCTATCTATCTGTCTATCTATCTATCTATCTATTTATCTATCTATATATCTATTAATTTATCTATCTATCTATCTATCTATCTATCTAATCTATCTATCTATCATCAAAATCAATCAATCAATCAATCAATTTATTTATCTATCTACTTATTTGTTGTAAGATCGATGTTTTTTAAGCCACTAACTGTTGCAAATGTTGAAAACGGAGTTGCTGGGTGAAGAAAATGTAAATTATTATTATTATTTATTATTATTATTATTATCATTATTATTATTATTATCATTATTATTATTATTATTATTATTATTATTATTATTATATTATTATTATTATTATTATTATTATTATTATTATTATTATTATTATTATCATTATTGTTATTGCTATTATTAAGTGATCTGGATACTGTAACCTATACGCCTCTGTAAGAATCTATTTGATTTAGCTATAATGACCAATGTTTTTTAAGCCACTAACTGTTGCAAATGTTGAAAACGGAGTTGCTGGGTGAAGAAAATGTATTTTTCAATGTGAACAGAGGAGATATATTTATCGTATTTATTGTAGTATGTTTTAATCCACCTGTTCTTGTGCTAGATATATTTCATGATACAGGGTATCTATTTTTTCTTTTCTTTTGATTTTATTGTCGTTGGTTATGATAACATAAATTAAAAATAATGATGATAATGATAATATAGTGATAATGATAAATAATAATAATAAAAAAATAATAATAATGAAATAATGATAATAAGTGATAATGATATTGATAATGATAATGATGATAATAATAATAATAATAATGATAATGATACTAGTAATAAAAGCAATAGAAATAATGTTATTATTCTTATTACCATCCCTTTTTTTATTCATCATATATACAAATTCTTTTTTGGGAAAAGGGGTTAGTCGACGTAAATTCGCCTTAAAGTCAGTGTAAAGCATATTGATGCAAAAACTTTGTAACTGTAAGTCTGGTCTATTGATATGCAAATGATTTGTGTATTCAAAACCATTCTTTTTCATTCTCCTTGCACATGGAAGAAGGAATCGCGAAGGAAGAACTTAAAGAAAATAAGAGATGAAGCCGAAGAAAAAGCTAAGCCCCGTTGGTATGGACTCCCCCCCCCCCCCAAATACAGCGCAACAACGTGCAGTGTCCGTGATGCATAGCAGGGATCTTTACTGTATGGGACCCTCTAAAACGATGGCGAGCGGGATAACGCTATTCTATACAGCGGAGCCCGGGATGGAGCACCCACTTACACTAACAAATAACCTCGTATCCCTAGTGGACTAGGAATCGATAGCGAGATCAGTTACAAACCTTGCTGTAACGGAAGCTTCAACTTGGCCTGAATTCGGGGAAAAGCTCGCCTGCCAGATACTTACCGACTTTGCATCCATAAACTTTGGTTCTCTAGTTTCCATAATAATGCAGAATTGCTCGCGGGAAGGAGATTATGGGCTATAAATGCTACGATACGGATACCGAGTTCCATTTGTTTTAGGCTCGTGGTCTTCCATTGTTTACACAGACTAGGAAAACACAAAGAGACAATTGGCTTTACTTCAACATTATACATAAAGGCTTTAGGTATTATGAATGTCATAATGTTAGATGTTAGGAGTTGAGCAAGCATTACTGAAAATAATGTTTTGTGAATTATATATCCCTCGAAATATATGAACAAATTAAGCTTAATTGAAAGCTCTATGTTATGATAATCAGGTCACAACAACACTTGTTTACAATGTTGATATCTGATAGTTACTCGATCTTTGTCATCATATTTTTTTTTATATCTGTTTTTATTATTATCATATTAGTATCATTATTATTATTATTTTACTATCATTATTATTATTATTATTATTATTATTATTATTATTACTATCATTATTATTACTAGTATTATCATCATCATCATCATTATTGTTATTATTATTATTATTATTATTATTATTATTATTATTATATTATTATTATTGTAAATATTATTATCATTATTATTATCCTCCTCCTCCTCCTCCTTCATCATCATCATCATCATCATCATCATCATCATAATTGCTGTTGCTGTTATTATCATTATTATTAGTAGTAGTAACAGTAATAGTAGCATAGCAATGATCATAATACAATTAACCACAGGGGTAATAGTGATGATGATGATTATAATAATGATAGTAAAATGAAAGAATATATCAAAACAACCAAATGAAGTGAATATGGCTTTTTATTCACACATCCATTACATAAGTTCCATTTCCCCGTTGATCTGCTGTGTAATCCTTTAATCTTGATAACGTTAAAGAAAACGTTTATATTTGGAAAGAGTTATGAGAACGTTTCCCTGAAATATCTTCGCGCATATTAATTCAACGTATACATCGTGAATTTATTGGGCAGTTGCATTTCTAATTAAATGTATTTTGTTTGAGCAAGAGAAAAAAAAAATGATGGGTCATCTCTTTCCAAAAAGTATATGAATTAGATGATTGGATTAGTGTTGTTATTGTAATCATCGTCATTACGGTCATTATCGTTATTATTATTATTATTCCTATGTGATCATTATTGGCTTTGGCATTGTCAATGTCAGTGCCAGTGTCAGTGTCAATATCAATGAGATTATCATTTTTATTATCATTATTGTCTTTATCCTTATCATTAACATCATTACTATAATTTCCATTAATATCATTATCGTTATCATTATCATTAACATCATTATTATTGTTTCCATTATTATCATTTTCTTTTTCATTATCATTAACATCATTACTTTTGTTTCCATTATAATTATCATCTTCAATATGACTATTGCTATGCATATTATTATTGTTATAAACATGATGAATATTACAATATTTTTTACATTACTGTAATATTACACATTACTGTAATTAATTATCTTTTTCTTCATTATTACCTTCTTTAAGAATAGTATTAATACTATTTTCAACATTAGTGTTTGTATTCGTATTGGCATTATATAATTAATATTAGTATTATAATCCTTGTTAGTATTATCATACTATAATTATGATTATTACTAATATCACCAGTATTTTTATCTTTTTTATTATTACTAACATTATTGCTGTTGTTATTATTTTGCAATGTGCCATCCAGTCATTCTCCGTTGATATTCTCTCTACTTCTATAAATTCTGCAAATATACTGCAAATACATTGCAAATCTCTTTATAGTTATGCCTATAAATACATATCTATATCTATATCCCTCTGTTTATATCAGTAACTAAATAAAGGAACAAACAAGCAATCCTGAACACACACACACACACACACACACACACACACACACACACATACACACGCACACACACACACACACACACACACACACCACACACACACACAACACAACACACACACACACACACACAAACACACACACACACACACACACACAAACACAAACACACACACATACACACACACACACACACACACACACACACACACACACACACACACACACACACACACACACACACACACACACACACATATATATATATATATATATATATATATATATATATATATATATATATTGTGATAATGCTGGAGATGATAACGGCATCTGCTTCCTGAGCATCGACCTGCGCTAGTCTCCTCACCCGACTACGGATTTTCATTTCACAAGACATAGCTTTATGGGGATTGTTGTCCGAATTGTATATGCTTCGTCGGGTTCAGATTCACATTAAGGGTTCGCAGCTCATGGTTCGACCCTTCCTCATGGTATAGGGAACAACGGGGAAGGAGCTCACAACATACTTGGACGTCTGAGGGAACGAGCTGGCGAGCGCTGGTCGGTGGTCGGGAGGAGCCGGTTGTGGTTGCGTATTTATTTTCTTGTCTTTTATAGGGTTGCTATATATTTCATTATTTATGTGTGTATATATTTATCTTTATTCGGTTTATCGTAATATCATATTATGATGTGTTAATGGTGGTGACTGTGCCGAATACTTTCGATGATGTGGTGATGGTAATGACTGAACATGTGGTTAATGTAAATATAGTGATAAGATGAATAGTGACTTTCTGCTTCTCCCTTACATACTTGAGGTAATTGTGCAATGATATATATAAACTTTTGATAATTAATGAAGTGAATATATACTAGAAAACATACTAAACAAAACTAATTAAAACATAACTGGAATTATAAAGTGACACGAATTGCTGCTGAAGGAGTCCAATGAAATGAGATAAGAAATGAACTCGTGGATATATCTTTAGTTAAAAGAAGGCTTTGACACCTGCATTAAGCTTAGAAATGATCTCATATTCCCTAATTAATGGGTATCTGTTACCACCCTGTCCTTGGCCAGGGGTGTCACTGTTCAGGGGCTAAAGCATATGTAACAAAATTGGGGGCCTGACCGGGATTTCTGTCTCACTTGAGAATTAAGTGATTTAGTATTTGTAAAGGAGAAGCCAGATTTATTAAAATGACTTTTGATGTAAATGAGTTTGTTCAGTCACCATCAGTGGAAATACTGAATGAGTTGCGTAAATGTGATTTGTTAAAAGTCGCAGAATATTTCAAAATTAGCGTGAGAGTTGGTTTGAGAAAGAATGAAATCAGGAATGAAATAATCAAGTATATGGTTGAAAGAGATATGCTCGATATGTCTGCTTTAACTCATGTTGAGGATACAGGGAATGCGTGGCATGAACATGCACATATGATTAGACTGAAAGAACTTGAGCTTGAGAATGAATTTCGAATGAGAGAGTTAGAAATTCAGAGAGAACTTAAACTGAAAGAGCTGGAAATGAGGGGTTCGGTTTCAACTAGTGTTCCTTTCAATGTTGCAAATAACGTAAAACTCGTTCCGCCATTTCAAGAGAAGGCTGTCGATAAAATATTTTAATTATTTTGAGAAAATAGCTTTAAGTTCGGGATGGCCTAAGGAATATTGGACGGTGCTCTTTCAGTCTGTCTTAGTAGGAAAAGCTCAGGATATATACATGTGCATGCCAGTTGATGAGTGCGGCGACTACGAGAAAGTTAAAAGCGCTATATTAAAAGGATACGAGTTAGTACCTGAGGCCTACAGATTGAAATTCCGTAGTTTGCGTAAGACTGAATGTCAGAATTATCTTGAATTTGCAAGGGAAAAAGCTGATTTATTTATACGTTGGTGTGAAAGTGAGAGAATCTTTAAGGACTATGATAAATTATGTCAACTATTGCTTGTGGAAGAATTTAAGAAATGTGTGCCTGAAAGAATTAGAATTTATTTGAATGAAAACAGAGTGAATGATTTAGACAGAACAGCTCGTATGGCAGAAGATTTTTCTCTTATACATAAGCCAACTAGTATCGAAGGACAGAGGAAAGATAACTTTACAAAGGGTAATATGTCACCACAATCGTCTCCACCGACAGGTAATATAAATGAATATAAAAAGGGCACGGCCAGCCCTGGCCAGAGTTCCAATGGTAATAAGAGAAGACCCATTAGGTGTTTTAATTGTAATCTTTTGGGGCATACTAAGAGTAATTGTTGGTTTCTTAAAGAGAGACGCTCCAAGGATGTTCCAACAGCTCTTGCCAGTGTTAGGGATTCAGATGATATAAACCTTAATAATAATGTCCACAGTATAGGGAAAGTAAGAGCAGAATTCCGACCCTTTTGTTCAAAGGGGACGGTATCCATGGTCGGTGAAGAAGGTAGCGAGAAGCCTGTGATTGTATTCAGAGATACAGGTTCTTTAATGTCTTTAATGTTAGAAGGTATGCTACCTCTATCAAAGGAATCCTCGGTTGGCGCTAATGCTATATTAGCTGGAATCGAGTGTGGACAAATGAGTGTTCCTCTTCACCGTGTTCATTTAAAATGTGACTATATTGACATGGATATTATAGTCGGAGTAGTGTCTAAGTTTCCTCTTGAAGGGGTTTCATTTATTCTCGCAAATGACCTGGCAAAAGAAAAGGTGTTTTGTGGCATAAATAATCCTATTGTTCTGAGTGCCCCAGATCTGGACTGCAGCAGTGTGCAACTGGATGAGTCGGAGATGTACCCGGCATGTGCGGTTACCAGAGCAATGAGGAGAGTGGTGGAAATGAGTCGTGAGGACGAGAAGAGACAAGGTAGTGTGACCACTGTGAGTGAAAACCAGATTGAAAAACTACAGGTATGTGACGATGTGGAGGAAGACTTTAGTAAGGATTTAAACTCGTTGTTTTGCCATGAATCTGATAACAGTGAGGTTGCGGACGAGCTGAGTACTTGCTCCGTAGAGAGGAAGAATTTAATAGATCAGCAAAAAGTGGATGCGGAATTACGTAAGATTGCTGAGTCAGCTCTGATAGATACCGAAATATCGGATGTTCCCACGGGTTATTATAAGAAGGATGGCATTCTAATGAGGAAATGGAGACCTTCACATGTGTCTGCTGGGGACGATTGGCTCACGGTGCATCAGATTGTCATACCGCGATCCTATAGGAGACAGATACTGAGTTTAGCTCACGACTCGCCAATGGCAGGACATCTTGGTATTAATAAAACTTGTAATAGGATACAGAAATATTTTTACTGGCCGGGTATGAGGAAAGACGTAGCACTTTACTGTAAGACGTGTCATAACTGTCAGGTGGTCGGCAAACCGAATCAGAAAATCACTGCCGCCCCGCTGTACCCGATACCCGCGATGTCTGAGCCATTTAGCAAAGTTATTGTAGACTGTGTGGGTCCTCTTCCGAAGACCAAGGCTGGTAATGCATATCTCTTGACGATAATGTGCCAGACGACTCGCTATCCTGAAGCGATTCCTTTAAGGAAAATAAGTACTTCTGCAATTGTGAAGGCTTTAACTAAATTTTTCACCACGTATGGGTTACCTCAGTTTGTTCAGACAGATCAGGGCAGTAATTTCTTATCTGGGGTCTTTCAACAAACAATGAAACTCTTAGGGATTCAACATCAGATTTCAAGTGCCTATCATCCCGAATCCCAAGGCGCAGTAGAAAGGTTTCACCAAACTCTTAAGAATATCAGAACTTACTGCTATGACACAGAAAAAGAGTGGGATGAAGGTATATCCGTGTTACTGTTTGCGGTCAGAGAGTGTGTTCAGGAGTCTTTAGGATTTAGTCCATTCGAACTAGTCTTCGGCCACGAAGTCCGAGGTCCCCTCAGGCTTTTGAGAGAAAAGTGGTTGAGTAGTGAGGGTGACTCAAACATTTTAAAGTACGTGATGGATTTTCGATGTAGACTAACTAAAGCTTGTGAACTGGCAAGAGCAAATCTAAGTGAGGCCCAGAGACGCATGAAGTCGTGGTACGATAAGAATACTAGACCTCGATCTTTCTCCTCAGGGGATAAAGTGCTGGTCTTCTTACCTGTGCCTGGCCCATCGCTAAAAGCACGGTACTTTGGTCCTTATGTCGTAGAGAGAAAGATTAGTAACTTAAACTATGTTGTACAAACTCCTGGTAGACGTAAGAAGTCGCGATTGTGTCACATTAATCAGATGAGACCATATTTTGAACGTAATGATTTTCCTATGAGTGAAAATAAGGGTGAAAGTGCAGAAATTCTGGTGACTCAAATTATAGACACTGTGAAAGCATGTAATGGGAAGGATGATGATTCTCTAGATAGTGTGCCTCACTCTAAATTGTGTAACTCAGAAATTTTGAATGACTTAACATGTAAGATTAAACATTTATCAGAACCTCTGCAAGATGTTTTAGTCTGCTGCATGAGTACTCCATTTGTTCTCTGATGTCCCAACCAAGACTCATCTTTTATATCATGATATTGATGTAGGTAGTAATCCTCCTGTTAAGCAGCATCCTTATAGGATCAACCCTTTAAAACATAGCCAGTTAAGGGAAGAAATAAGTTACATGTTAGAAAATGGCATTATTGAGCCTAGCATGAGTGAGTGAGTTCCCCCTGTATATTAGTTCCGAAGGCAGATGGTTCTATGCGTTTCTGTACGGATTTCAGACGTGTGAACGCATTAACTAGAGATGATAGTTATCCTATTCCCAGGATAGACGATTGCATTGATCTAGTGGGTAATGCTAAATTTGTAACCAAAATTGATTTGTTAAAGGGCTATTGGCAGATTCCTCTCACAGAACGTGCGAAACGCATCTCTGCTTTTGTAACACCTGATGGTCTTTATCAGTACTGCGTCCTCCCGTTCGGCCTTCGAACAGCTCCTGCAACTTTCCAGAGGCTAATTAACAGTATAATTGCTGGCATTGATGGGTGTAAGGCCTACCTCGATGATGTTATTATATACACAAATAGCTGGAAGGATCATGTAGCCAAGCTACAGGCGCTGTTTGATAGGCTAACTAAGGCGAACTTGACAATAAACCTCGCCAAAAGTGATTTTGCTCAAGCAAAGGTTACTTACTTAGGCTATACTGTAGGCCAAGGACAAGTTTGCCCTTTGAGTGGAAAGATCGAAGCAATCGATAATTATCCTGTACCAAAAACGAAACGAGAAGTGATGAGGTTTCTTGGCATGGCAGGATATTACCGCAGATTGTAAGAACTTTTCGGATGTCGTAGCCCCACTAACAGACTTGCTAAAGAAAAAAGTAAAATTCAAATGGTCGGAATCGTGCGAAGCTGCACTCAAAAAGATAAAGGCAATGCTAGTTTCCTCTCCCATTCTCGTTTCTCCCAATTTCGATAAACCGTTCATTTTGTATGTGGATGCGAGTGACATCGGAGCAGGAGCTGTGCTGTGTCAAGCTGATAGTAAAGGTATTGATCACCCTGTATGTTTCTTTTCAAAGAAATTTGATAAACATCAGAAGAATTATTCAACTGTGGAAAAAGAAACTCTGGGTCTCATTCTAGCACTCAGGCATTTTGAAGTATATGTCTATCCTGCCTTACATCCCCTTAAAGTTTATACAGACCACAATCCCTTGGTTTTCTTATCCAGGATGAGTTTTAAAAACCAGAGAATCATGAGGTGGAGCTTAGAATTGCAGAAGTATAACCTTGATATCCACCATAAAAAGGCAAAGAAAATGTAATTGCTGATGTTCTATCTAGAAAACAAATTCAATAATGTGTAAATCATCTCCATCTCACTTCCTCTCCTAATGTATGTGATTTGTACTAATTTTGACTTGTTCGCAGATGCTGTCGTTTAGAAAAATACATCAGTGTTGTGGTTACCATATGATGTTTCTGTTCATGGTGAAGTATTATGTCCATGTATCGCTCGTTGTTTTCTTGTTCACCCTGTTTATAAGAAAATGATAGCATGTCAATATTATTTTTCGTTGATTCGTGTGTATTAAATGGAGACATAATTAAGCTATAATGTATGTAAAATATATAATAAAAAAGTCTAATGACTTTTTTTTTCTTTTAAGGAGGGAGATGTGATAATGCTGGAGATGATAACGGCATCTGCTTCCTGAGCATCGACCTGCGCTAGTCTCCTCACCCGACTACGG